TACGGAATTTTGACTGCCTACTTTTGTGCAAACGTTGCCTTTCATGTGCCGTGATTTGTGTCGAAAATGAAGAAATGCATCTCGTGTTATTCTACGGCGCATCACAGCACTATTATTGGGGGGCAAATTTTGATTCTAGTGATTTTGTTTTTATTGGAATGCATAAAGCAATATCAAGAAAACCTTTGTTATTCCTTTACGACTAATATTTAACTTAAACGTTTGCAATCAAGTCTTGCACACATATTTCCTGTTACTTTTAATCAAATATGATTTTGGTTAGGTGCAAGTATTAAGATTGTGCAGAAGGTTGGAAAAATTTGATGCAAAATCAAGGGATGTGCAAACTTCTCTGCCTCAAAATTGGTGGGAACAAAGGGCCACACATCTGGACGAGGGTGCAACCTGAGGCAATTCACGAGCCTCCTTAGCCAGACATACGGTGATCCAGAATATCAATTCGTCGCGCGTAATTAGGGAAACGAGTCAGAATGCAATTGTTACTCGTCCCTGCACACTCTACAGACAATGCATTTGCCGCAGAAATATGACGTTCTTGACTTTTTTCCTGTTTCAGATGGACAGGTAAAAATGTATCATTTCTCATGTTACCACTTTAAGCAATGCAAAATGGACAAATGCTTTGTGTAATTAGACAAAATAATGTCACTCTCTTTCCAAAATATTTAATTTATTTCCTTTTCCAGCAGGACCATTTTCGATTTAGAACCCATCCAGTTAACAGTAGTTACAGTGAAAAAGTGCATCTGACCAAGACCTATTTATCAAACAGAGCTTACTCTACATCTGTTGAATGTTAGTGGGACTATCATCAAAAGTGTGCAACAACCAACAATTTGTCACTGATGATAACATCTACATTATGTAGCACAAAAGACGGAATTGTATACCATGGTAAGCAAAGGTGCCAGGTCAAATACCTAGCACGCTTTTGTGTTTTGTTGATGTGCATTTTAGATTGCTGGCAAACTAACCACAAAATTAAAACTCCTAAAATCTAGACTGTAGATGCATATTACACTGCGAAATTCATCATGTTCTCGTGCGGTTATCCAGACGATTGATTAGGATCCATTCCAACAGGAGAAGCTTTCAAGAGGATTTGCTGGAGTCAAGTTCATTAGTAAGATTTGACTTAAAGAATGAAATGCTTCTGTTAATACCTACTTTCCTCCAACAAGAGGACGCAATTCACAAATTCAACAAGTAATAGTGTTGGGATATTTTCATTTAAATCATGACGGTACAACTTCTTTCTCTCGCTGCGAATATGTAATTGGGTCGTCTTGAGATTCTTCTGGCTGCCTTCGTCAGTGCTATTCCATTCATGCGCTCATTTCTCAAAAGGAAAAATTCAAAAATTTATGCACGAAGACAGTACATTACAAACGATTAAAGTAAATTTTTGGTAATCTGGCTATGTTTTGGCATTTTAGTTCAAAAAATTTCTGAGTAACTTACCTAAAGTGCAAGCCAATTACTTAAAGGGCATTTGTGTAACCTTAAGCTCTCCATGAGATGTGACAGTTAATTTGACCCAGCAAGTATTAATGGATGAAAGGCACCATGACAGCAGGACTTAAGTAATTCAAGGCAGAAATGCATATTTTGGAGGTGAAAGTGCATGGCTGACTTTGATAAAATGCTTGGGGATATTCTGTGAAAAGGTTAATTTCAGTCATCGACTTGATTACCTTTGACCAAAGTTTGGCATGAAGGTGATGCTTGTGTGTCAGAGGCTAATAACGTCTAAAATTGACTTGTCATCCTTTTGACAGGCTTGATAATTGAGTTTAGCGTTGAAGAGTTAATTCGTGCTGTAGCGTACTGAATTTTAATGCAACTTCTGCGAAAGTGATGCATACTTTATGGAGGCACTCACACGTTCGCGGAGTGCAAAAGTGGTAAAAGCTAAATATTTTGAATATTTGAATTATCACGTTTAAACAACTGCATCATTTACGTCAAAACTAAATTCATGGCAAGGCAGAGTGCATGATAAACTTGTCACTTGATTTGCACGAATTTGTTGACCAGGTCTTCCACCTCATGGACAAATTCTGGTGTTCAAGTACTAAGAAATGCAGGCTTTTGCATTTAAAGG